AATACCTGAATGGATAAACAGCGATGGGCAGTTCAACAGTCACCTCACAAAATGATATCCTTTGAGAAAATCATAGACTTGCTTGACAAAATATTTGTAACTCAAATATATTTAGGACAAATTTTAAAAAGCCACAAAAATGGTATGTAAGAGAGATTTCGAGCTAATTTACCTAGAACAATATGCAATTGTGCTTTTAAATCATATAGTCAGCTTTCAAGAGTTGGAATTTATAGTTTCTGAAACAACAATTCTTTTTATCTCCTTCTGCATTTTCAAATGACAATTGTACATACTCTTTCTGATTCTCCAAAACACTGTTGAAAATGATAAGAGTATAGCATAGCCTTGTTGAGTTTAGGTTGTTCTGTATATTAAAAAAAATGCCATGGCACTTTAAATATTGGAAGATTTGTAATAAGGAACTGTGTTTGCAAAATCTACTAAAGTGAATAATGCATCTATTTAGGGAAATTTTACACTGAAGTTATTAGCTACTTAAGATGAATTGTAAATTTCAAAAGCAACGGCACAAACTTCTTGCACGAATACATAAAGGAGAGAGATATTTTTTAAAACAATAACTGGTAATTCCACTTTTAGACTTACAATATTTACCACTGGTTCAGGTTAACATTGTGAAGATTACAGTGTAAATCAGGATACCTAATCAGTATCCTCCAAATCCCTTATAGGCAGGTACTTCTTTTGCTAAATAAAATAGTTGTTAAGTGAGTTTTGCCCCATTTTACGACTTTCTTGCCATAGTTAGCTAAATCACCGTAGCTATTAAGTTAGTAACATGGTTATTAAGTGAATCTGGCTTCCCCTTTGACTTTGTTTGTCCAAAGGTTGCAAAAGGTGATCACATGATCCAGGACACTGTAACTGTCATAAATATGAATCAATTGCCAAGTGGCTGAATTTTGATGATGTAATTGTGAAAAATAGTCATAAGTTACTTTTTTCAGTGTCATTGTAAACTTTGAATGGTCACTAAACAAACTGTTGTAAGTTGTGAATTACTATTGCAATCTACAGAACTTTCTCTGGCATGCCACCAAACTTAACTGATGTGATGACTGAAAATCAGCTCCAGTTTCTTTTGCTATTTTGAGATGCAAAACTCCATAAATCTGTTGTATTGGTTAGGATTAACACAGTAAAATGTTAAAGAAAAACCTCCATAGTTTCTTTTCCATAAACTGGAAAATCTCATTTCCATGATATAGCTCAACCCACTTTGCATCATAACCCCTCAAATTTCATAGCACAAGTCTCCAGAAGGATTACCTATGGTCCTCAAACAACGTCTGCCTCTAACCAGAGTAAGTTAAGCACACCTCTAACTACTTCAGTCGCTCTAACTCCTTGGAAAAAACTGATGCACACAAGACATGAGAACCAAATAAAATACCTATTGGCTGATATTCAGGGCACTCTAAAATTAAAACCAATAGTTACATTTATCACCATACAACTTATGTAATGTTGAAATATCTAAATCATTTTGATAGAAAGTTCTGTATTCCCTATTTTAAGAATCTGCTATTTAAATATATACAATACATATATGGGAAGAGAGCTGACAAGAGCAACAATGATGATTAGGGGCCTGGAGGCTAAAATTTGTGAAGAACAGTTTCAGGAATTGGGTATGTCTAGTCTAGTGAAAAGGTCTAGGTGTGTCATGCTAGTGTTCCAATTTTTTGAGAGGCTATCACAAAGAAGAGAGGGTCAACTTATTTTCCAAAGCACCAGAAGGAAAGATAATAAACAATGGATGGAAACTAAACAAGGAGAGAAGCAACCTATCATTAAAGAGAAATTTCCTAACAGTGGGAACAATTAAGTGAAAAGGCTTGCCTTCAGTAGTTGTGGGTGCTCCATCACTGGGGTTTTTAAGAAGAGACTGGACCATTTATCTGAAATGGTGTAGGGTCTCCTGCTTGAGCAGGGATTTGGACTAGAAGATCTCCAGGGTCCCTTCAAACTCTATTATTCTGTTAAATATACCAGTTCCAATATATTTGTAGCAAATCAGCTGACAAAAGTCAGTTCTAGCTTTTCTAAATTTGAATAAAATTTGAGTCAATGTTTCCCCCCCCTGTTTTTGTGAGAAGATAAATGTGCCCCACTCTGTGCTAAGTGTTGGTTGTAGGTGACAGAGTCTGTCATTTAATGTAAGGGAAGTCAGCTCCCCAGAGAAGGAAATATTAAAAGGGCAGAAAAATATATTTCCTCAAAAGGATTTTAAAAGCAGAAACCAACCCTGCCCCCAAGTCTCTCTGTCTTAGTGAACATTTACCTTTGCTTCAAGTATGCTTTGCCAAGGTAACTTGCAGAGAACAATGCAATGCAATTTTGTGCTCTCTACTCAAATGTATGTTCAGTAAGTCAATCTGAGTTCAGCATTTTTGGATTAAAAGCAAAGAAGGAAGTAGGCAAAGCTACGACATCATAGTGAATTAGACTAATTATCTTTATAAACATAATTAATATTAATTAAATTAAATTAATTAAATTCATTTCTCCCGTATTAAATATCAGCAACATATATTATATGTACTGAATGGGGATCAAAACCCATGTCCATAGTTTTCAGACCTTAGACTGTACACTCCTGTTATACAAGGTATAGTCTTAAATATTTATTTCAATATGTGAAGAGAATGAAAGCTATGTGGTTTTAAAGTTACGATTCTGCTTTAAGGATGCTTCTCTCTTCTTCAGAGAAAGCATTTTGCATCACATTTTTTCTTGGATCCAAGCTGTGTAAAGTGACCTATGAATGACCTATGTGAACAGGAGCTTGTGTCACTGATGGCTATATTGATCTGGAGATGATGGCTAAGGGCAATGCATACTGATGACATGACAGTCTGCTGAGGTGATGATAACCACCTTTGATATATTTGGAGGGATCTTGATGCTTTATTGTCAATTGTAGCAACAGAATCCTTGGGCAGAAGTAATAGTTGTAAAAAGTTCAGTTCTGAGTTAGAATAGCCACAGAAATAATATTTTCTAAAACCTATTCTTAATTGTTTTACTAAATTTCTAAGTAAAGGATTTATTTGGTTCAACCTGTTTCATTTTATGTCATATATTATATTCTAGAGGAGAACTGCCAACCTTTTAGAATTAGTGGGCATACTTGAAATTTTAACGGGATCTTGTTATTGAAAAGGATCACTATGGAGGTGAAGACTTACTATTCAGAAAATGGCTGCCATGTTGGATATGCTAATGACAAGATACCTATTTCCCAGAAGGCAAATGAATCAGGATGTTCCTGATTCTTGGGATGTGAGATGTTTTCAAAGGAAGCATTAGGCTATAGTGACTTGAAATTGTTGTTTTCTAAGAATATCTTTAATGCCCCAAATAGGACCTAGGTTAGGGCATTATTGGAAAGAAAGATTAACAGAAGTTGACTTGGTCATATAATGCAGGAAATAATCATAAGCACTAAGGGAGATGGCAGTGAGTAGGTAAATACGTTGTCATTGCTGCATTTTTAATGTTTGGTACCAATTCTCATGAAAAAAATTAATTATGACCTATAAGAATTAATTATGACCACAAGCTTTTGTGCTAATGAAGGGGAGGACTCCATAAAACACAGTTTGGTATATAACTCAGAGGTTTTCTGAAATGAGATGCTACACATTATATCAAGGGAATGGAACTGATTTTAAAGAAGATTAAAAAAAAGATCAATTAACATGTAGATCAGTTTTTGGCTATCTACACTTCTTATATTTCCAGTATTTTCCAGGTGCAAATTCTGTACCTGTCAATGACTTCATTCTGAGCATGAATTTATATTCTAGTGAAAGTTAGAAAGCATTTCAAAAATTACATAAATTACATTTATCAACACTTTCAATTAAGTAGAAATTTCTTTGTTCTTTGCTTATTCCACCTAAGGAAGCATGAGTAATATCATCATTAGTTGATACAAGTTAAAGCAAGATGTAACATGTCCATGATGACAATGCAGGAAATCTAAAAGGCAGCATTTCAGAAACACAGACAAATCTGATGATGATTGAAAGTATCTTATATAAGCAGACATGCCCTTTATTATGTTTCAAGTATTTGTCACCACATCTCAGTCTACTAGAATTATAGGTGGAACTATGACTAATAAAATTAGTTGTGAACCAAAATTCAATAGTTACAAAGTTAATTACAGGTTTATAAGAGTATAAACTTACAGCTTGATCAATATGTAAATTGTGACCTTCAATGGTCTTTTCAGCTTTCTTGTAATCTTTGGTCTTACGAAGATGAACCTGACTTCCTAAGACTTCCAGTTGTAAAGTTCGTCCTATATTTATACCATCACATTTATATGTCACAAATCATCCATAAACATATATTTCTATTTTTTAATAAAAAATCATTCCACAAATGGATTATTGTGGAATGAATTATTGATGTTAATAAATTTAAATATCTCCAAACAGTATCCGTAACTGTTTTAGACATTATTTTTTTTAAAAAAATGCATATTAGCAGTAGTTTGTTAATCACATGACAATATAAATGTTACATCTTCCAATTTTCATTTTTCAACTCATCCTGCAAGGTACTAAGATAAAGGGAAATGGCAGGATTATTTTGATCTTTTTAGTTGACAGATGTTGGAAACCCAGTTACGTTTCTTTAGGATATGTTTCATTATAGTTCCCTTGATCATTAAGAAGCATGAAAGCTGGGAATGGCAGCTACCAAATCTCTTAAAATTATCAGGTTGGAAAAGAGATATTTTAGTAGCTAGTTGTACATTTAACTGTTGCACATTGAAATATCAAACACCCTTAGAGCAAATGTTTTCTTTTTCCTGAATACAATACTGATTCCTATTCTACGGTAAGTTTCTTCTTTATTAACTTCCTTCTCTATTAAAAAAGAGTAGAGACAGTAGGTTCACAGGCAAAGTTGAATCTTGCCACAATCACAAACAATTATCTGTATTCATTCTACATTACCAACATTGCCTTCTCTGTCATGTGGAATATTTGCAGAGGGAGCTGATTTGTTTTCTTAGTATAGACGGTGTTTTCAAGGAATGCTAAACAGGACACCTGGACATCTGAGGCGCTGCAGTGTACAAGGAAAGACAGCCTTTTCTGTAGCGATCTTCTCAAAAGAATTAATGGGTTTGCTTAGCTGGTTAAGCCTGTTGTATTAATAACTGTAGCTTCATCAGAGGCTGGTCAATAGCTGAAAAGAGAAACACACAAGAATTACATATCTGGAATAAAGTACACCCCAAAGTACACTTTATACTTGTATTTTTCTTTAACTGTCTTGGTGAGATTGTAAACGACAGGAGTGAACCAAATGAGCTATCAGAAAATTGTTTAGACTATAGTTTGGAGAAGGTAACATCTGGATTCCTGCTCTTCTTTCAAATGTGCCAATGGAAAGATGTGTAAATAAGTAGAAGGAAAGCTAACTAGGAATCTATCTCAAGGATCAAATTCTTTTTATTATTTCCTGGAGACATTTAACTTCCCAGGTCAACAAGAGTAAAAAGCAGTCAGGAGTATTCTACTTCTATCAGATCTGCTCCAAAGTAATAATCCTTCACAGATACTTCAGAAAGAACAGGGTACAAAACAGTATTTGTATACAACTTAACAACATCTCAAATTCAACACTACATTGAGACAGGAGGATTGATTCTCTGCTCTGTATTTTAACTAACATCAGTTAATTTAATATCAGGTGAAGAAAACTAACCCAAAGATTTAAAATACAATCGAATGATCTTGTCATGCTGATAAATACTGCAAAGATCAACTACTTCAATTCAAAGAAGCTTGAATTGTTTCAAACTAATCATTTCAGATTAAGGGCAGATTCACACTGACCCATCATAATAAGGTGGGCCACTTACTGCTTCTTGGGTATCGGAACAGAAGATGTGGTCATTCTCCCACTCCTAGTTCATTGGTAATATGCCCATGTTTCATTCAAAATGGTTGATTCTTGACCCGAGCAATCTTAAGTCTTTCAGAGCAAATTTGTTCCATTCCAGTAGCAACCACTGTTCTGAGTACTTTTAGAGCCCGATATGCTCCCTTCTTTCCAGCAAGTGGTCCTACCCTGTGAGCTATTTCATTCAGAGCTTATGGGCTACTATATTCTCTGCTGGTCAAAGCTGCTGTTCTAAAAACTAATCTTGCAATTGGTCCAAAGTTGGCTAATGGTAAATCTTTAACTTTTGAATCTCATCTTTCATTTAACCTTTACATTTCCCAAAGAGTATCCTTTTAGATTCTGTGCAGGATGGGTGAAATATACTTCCATGGCTTTTCTCACCCTTTTCCAGCAGTAGTGCAAAATTTATTTTCCCTTTCCTTTATTTTTAAATATTGTTAAACTGAAATGTAGGAACCTTGTTACATTGCTTCTGGGAAGCTGAGCTATTAGTTTTTTCTTGGTAAAAAGCTGCCATGGACTAAGACAAGACTAAGAGGAATGAAAGAATAACTTGAGGGATCTTGGAGTCCTAATGGACAATCATTTAAATAGGACCCAACAGTGTATGGCAGCAGTCAAAAAAGCCAATGCAATCCTAGGTTGCATTAACAGAAGGATATGATCAAGATCCTGTGAAGTATTATCTGGTAGTACCACTTTATAATTTTAGTAAGACCACACTTAAAATATTTCATCTAGTTTTGGTCATCATATTATAAAAAAAGATGTTGAGATTCTGGAAAGAATATCAAAATGACATGATAGCAGTATTTCAATATTTGAGGGGCTGCCACGAAGAAGAAGGGATCAATTTATTTTCCAAAGCTCTAGAAGACAAGGCAAGAAACAATGGATGTAAACTAACCAAGGAGAGAAGCAATCTAGAATAAGGAGAAATTTCATAACAGAGTTGTTAATTAATCAATGGAGCAGCTTGCCCTCAGAACTTGTGGATGCTGCATCCCTGGAGGCTTTTAAGAAGAGACTGGACAGCCACTTGTCTGGAATGGTATAGGGTCTCCTACTTGAGCAGGGGTTGAACTAGAAGATCTCCAACATCCCTTCCAATTCTGTTATTCTGTTATTTTGTTACCTTGTTCACTATAGTTTTGATTACTGGCAGGTCGGTGCTGTGATGATGAATTGCATCCATTTGTACAATTATGAGGGAAAGCAAATCCAAGGGTGCTAACAGAGAAAGTATAATGCCTGAAAGGAAAAGGAAGGCACTGGTAAACCAATTCACACAGCAGACCATCAGTGAGATTTGCTTTCCTTATATGGATGTGAAGAAAGAGAAACAAGAAAATGACCGTGTCTTGCAGTAGCCACTTTTGAGACTGAGTGTCAGCTTATCTCTATTGCCAGCCCACCACATTTTGGAGTGGAATTCTGAATTTTGTCTAACAAGTCACAAGGAGTAGAACAGTGTGGTCTGCAATATGGAATTGCACTAATTATTAAAACAGTATAAACTTAACCAATCGAGGGAATAGGATAAACCTGGCATTTCTACAATAAAACATTAACACATAGGTTAGAATATTTAAATGGACTCACAAATGGCTGAATGACAGCATCCCAAAAAGTGTTCATTTGTGGTTATACTTCAGATTGGAGGAAAGTATCAAGTATGTCACAAAACTCTGTCTTGACTTGAATGAGTGGCAGCAGTGGATGTTCATCAGTTTGGCAAATGATACAGAGCTAGGACGGCTGGGCAACACTTTAGAAGAGAAAGAGAAGATTCAAAAATATCTTGGCGGGCTTGAGCAGTGGCATGAAATGAATAGGATGTATATTTTCATACTAGGAAGAAAAGTACTATATGTAGGATGGAAAACGAAAGGCATAGAAGGGATACCTGACTCACCAATCGAATATGTGAAAAGGACCTGGGTGTCCTTGCCGACCCTTGTTAAATATGAACCATCACTGTGATGCAGTTGCTAAAAAGGCAAATGCTATTTTGGAAAATCATAACTGCACTCTACTTTGCCCTGGTACATCCTGTTTGAAATACCTGATCCAATCCTGGCCAAGAAAAAAAAATACACTGTTATTTACTTGATTTACTGAATTACTTGAGAATTACAAATCCATCCCTCTATTCAGTTAGAATTTTGTTTGGGTAGTGTGATTTCAAAGTGCAGTAACTTTTACAGAGGTGTATATGTGTGTAGGGAGTCTAGAAGATGGGATAAAATCAGAGCTCTCATTAACAGGAAACTAACTTCCCTGAAAATTCCATTGCTCTGCTGCAAAAATGCATTTGTAGGTATTTCTTTTGAATGAAGAAGAACTAGAAGTCTTTAGCCAAAGGAAAAAGATAGCAGGAACAAAAGGTTGCATCACCAAGCCAGGAGTGGTGTATATGAATGTCCTTTCTCTCTTTTCTAGTTTGGATAAATATAAATGTAAATCAAGGAATTTCTGCCATTATGCTAAGGAAACAGGAATAATCAGGGTTTCAAGATAGAAAACCAGTTTGTCATATTCCTAATTAGAATGACAACCAAAGATTTAGCTAATATACAGTATTCATTTTTATCCCTCTGCCCAATTATTTTTGTGCAATGGCATTCCTGGTCTTCGAGGTGATGGAATAAAAAGTTATATAATTTAGAACCCCAGAGAATTTATAAAATAACTTAGCCATTTTCCTTTTTCCCCTCTTACAGTTCTGAATGTAACATAAAGACTAATAGGTTCCATCAGCTAGCAGCTATAAAGAATAATACTTACTGCTTTAGTAAGTTCAAAAGTTCAATATAAATTAAGATCATTTTTATTTGATGAGCAAATATGGACATATTGTAAACCATAATTTAGTATCAATGCTTTTCCAGTTGTGATTCATACGATTTCCATAAGGCATGTGACTATTTAATTATCCACTAATGCTAAATCAGCTTCTTTAATTAAAAGAACATCTTCAGAATACAGTGTGAAATTTCATTTTAAGCAAAATACAAGAAAATAATTAAAAATGGATTAAATTTTGAAATTCATATTAAATTTTAATAACTTTTTCAGGCACTGATGTTCCAAAATAAGAAAACATGAGCCACAGAACATTTTGTCTTCTGTTATGTTTTATGAAATTTGACTCCTCTGGAGGGCTTTCTGAATTCTTATTGGTAAAGAATCATAAATGCAGCTTTTGTGAGGCCAGACTTCAGTTTTAGTCTTTGAAAGGACCCTCTTCCAATAACCTAAAAGCTTTCAAAATTATTTAAAGTTTAAGAAAGATGTCTAAAGTAAGATTATTTCTGTTGGCTTTTTAAAAAATGTTCCCTACAGATCTCAAAATATATTGACTTTAATAATCCCTCCCTCCCCAACACCTTCAACCTCATTTGAATAGCAAAATGCCATTGAAAATCAAGCTATTGTTAGATGGAACAATTTATGTTGTGTTCATTTCAGGAATAACCAAATATGTTGTACAGGATCAGAATATTTTATACCTTGCAGAAGGTCAATCCATAATTACTCTGACAGCTTATTCAAGGGCATCAAAAGATGCTCTTTTGAAATCAACTGCTTGATGCAAAAAGATACTGAACATTGATTGGAGCAGGAGCTCATCCTTGTCAGAGATGTGTCATGCAGCGCAGAATTTACTTGGGATGTAAGATGATAAATAAAAGAGAACCAAGTTATGAAGGTCAAGAGAATTAGAAGCACATTTTGTTCTAAGCAAATAGATTTCCCTCTCTGTAAAGTTTCACAATTAATTCCTGGCCATTCCTTTGCAACTGTCCACACTGTGGTTAATTGTCTTTCTAACCAGAACTTAGCCTCATGCAGGACGAAGGAACTGGTAATATTCAGTGCAACTATCCCTAGTAAGGGATATGGTCACAGAAATCTAAGTCAAGGTTTCGATCTTTGGGTTCACCTATAATTTGCGCACCATAAATGTAGACTGAAGTCGTTAGGGACTTTGTAATGACAGTGCTGTCTATAACGGTATCATCAAGGAAGACATTGGCATAAATCATTGGCACTTTGCAAAGTGTCACTTCTGTCAACATCCCAGTGATGTGATCTTTAGTCTTTCAAATCTATAGACTGGCATTTGGATCAGCTAAGTGTTCCACAACCTGTCTTGCATATTAAACTTGCTTTAGCCAATATCTACATGTTAAAGTGATGCTTGGTTTCCAAATATTTTTAAACCATTTGCATAAAATAATCCTGATACTTTCAAGCTTTTCTGTAGGGCATTA